AAAATCAAATAGGCCAGACTTGCTCAGCATTTCTTAATCTGAAGGAACTGAAGAAATAATGCAAGTCTCAAGTTGCAATACTTAAAGATGCTTTGGGCAGAATGTTAAATGATCCAGGAAGCGTTAAAAAAAAGGAATATAGAGTCATTGTACCAAAAAGAATTGGCTGACAGAAGAATTTCATGGAACAAAGTATGACTCAGAGCCTGTGGTGAAGAGGGAGGAAGTTCAAGCTGCTCTGAAGGACTTGGCAAAAAAAAAAGGGGGGGGGGAAGGGAAAAAAATAAGGCCTCAGGAATTGATTGCATACTAACTGACATATTTCAACATACAGATGCTGCCCTGCTCACGCTTACCAAGTTGTGCCAGGAAATCTGGAGGAAAAGTACCTGGCCAACTGACTGGAAGAGATTCATATTTGTTCTCATCCCAGAAAAAGGTGACCTGATAGAGTATGGAAATTATCAAATATTAAAATCATATGCAAGCAATATCCTGCTGAAAATATAAAAAATGAACTAGAACAGCACATCAACAGAGAACTTCCATATGTGCGGGCTAGGTTTAGAAAAGGCTATGGTTGTTGTTGTTATTAGGTGCCATCCAGTCGAGTATGACTCATAGCAACCCAATAAACAAAAGATTTGAAACCAGTCCTGTCCTGTACCATCTTCACATTTCCTGACACACGAGAGCCCATTGCAGCAGTCACCTTGTCAGTCCACCTGGTTGAGGGTCTTCATCTCCTTTGCCAACCCTCCACCCTTTCCAACATTATCTCCCTTTCCAAGAAATAGAAACTTCAAGCAATATGTCCAGTGTATGTTAGGAGAGCCTCATCATTCTTGCCTCCAAAGAGCACTCTGGCTGCACCTCTCCAAGACAAAACTATTTGTTTTCTTGACTGTCCATGGAATGCTCAGTGATTTTCTCCAACATCCCAGCTCAAAAACATCAATTCTTTTTTCTGTCATCTTTATTTATTTTCCAGGTCTTGGATGCATAGCTAGTAATTGAAAAGACCATGGACTGAATCAGACACTCCTTAATCCTCTGATATCACTCCTCAATAATTTGGAATGCTTCATAGCTGTATATTTTCCCATTACAAGACATCTCCTTATTTCCTGATTATGTGTACCAAGGGTGTTAATTGTGGATCCAAGTAAGATAAAGCTGTTGACAGTTTCAATCTCCTCTCCATCTATCATGACACTGCCTATAGGTCTAGTTGTAAGAATTATTTTTTCTTGATATTGAGATGCAATCCATACTGAAGGCTGCATTCCTTGATTTTCTGCAACAATTGCTTCCAGTCCTCCTCACTTTCAGCAAGCAAGGTTGTATCGTCTGCATTACACAGGCTATTGATTAGTCTCCCTCCAGTCCTGATGCCACACTCCTCTTCATAGAGCATCGCTTCTCGTTTAATTTGCTCAGCATATAGATTGAACAGGTATGGAGATAGACTACATCCCTGACACACTCCCTTCCCAGTTCTAAACCATGCAGTGCTTCACTGCTCCGTTGGCACAACAGCCTGCTGGTCCAGGTATAGGTTCCTTGTGAGCACAGTCAAGTGCTCTGGGATTCCCATTCTTCTCGATGTCAGCCACAGCTATCATGATCCACACAGTCAAACACCTTTGCGTAGTCAATAAAGCACAAATAGACGTTCATCTGATATTCTTTACTTTGGGCCAGGATCCATCTGATATCAGCAATGATATTCCCAGTCCCATGGACTCTTCTAAATCCTGCTTGAACTTCTGACAATTCCCTGTCTATGTACTGTTCCAGCTATTTTTGAATGATCTTCAGCCATATTTTGTCAGCATGTGATATCAATGATTGATAATTTCCACATTCAGTTGTATCCCACTTCTTAATAGGAACAAATGTTGACCTCTTCCAATCCTTTGGCCAGACAATTGTTCTCCAAATTTTCAGGCATAGACTGGTGAGTTCATCCAAGGCTGCATCTATTAATTGAAACACGTCAATTGGTGTCCCATCCATTCCTGAGGCCTTATTTTTTGTCAATGCCTTCAATGAAACTTCTGCTTCCTTTTGCATTACCATTTGCTCCTGTTCATATGGTAGTTCATGAAATTTTTCAGTGTCTATCAATTATTCTGATACAGTGACTGTAGTCCCTCCATCTTCTGTGTATTCCATATGTATTCTGTCTATTCCCTCCACCTTCTTTTGATGTTTTCTAGGTCATTCAATACATTGCCTATAGCATGTTCGAACATTGCAATATTAGACCTAAATATGTTTTTCTGTTCTTTCAGCTTGAGAAATGCAGAGCGAGTTCTTCCCTTTTAATTCTCCAATTTCTTCACATGCACATTCCACTAAATTATTTTGCTTTGTCCTCCTGAGCTGCCCTTTGAATCTGTCTGTCCAGCTCTTTTACTTTGACATGTTTTCCTTTATATTTGGTTTCCTAATGATAATTGATAATTGGTAACTGGAATGCAAAAGTAGGAAAGAATAAAAAAGGAACATTAGTTGGAAAATATGGGCTTGATGATACAAATGAAGCTGTGGTACAAGGGATATTACAGTCAATGTTAGATGGTTCTTGGCCGAAAGTAGAGAATACCAGAGAAAATTTTCAGTGTTTCTTTGACTGTGCAAATACATTTGATTGTGTGAGCACAACAAATTGTGACTAACCCTGAGAGAATGGGTATCCCAGAACACTTCGTTGAGAAACCTCTCCAAGGTACTGAGGAGCAATGTCAGCCATTCTGGAGACCAAGGTGCACCTGATCCAGGCCATGGTCTTTTTCATTAATTGCTGTGCTTCAGAGAGCTGGACAATGACTAGGGATGATAAAAGGAGAGTTGATGCCTTTGAGCTTTGGTGCTGGAGAAGAGTATTGAATATACCATGGAGTGCTAGAAGAACAAACAAGTATGTCCTGGAGAGGGTGAAGCCAGGCTGCTCCTTGGAGGCAAGGATTCTGAAGCTTCATCTTACATACTCGGGACATGTTGCAAAGAGGAACCAGTCCTTGGAGAGGGATGTCATTCTTGGGAGGGTCGTCGGACGGCGCAGGAAAGGAAGACCCTCGATTACATGGATTGATTCTTTCACTGGGTAATGGGGATAGGTGTGTCAGAGACAGTGAAATTGGCAAGGGATAGAGCAGGGTTTAGGGCTGTTGTACATAGGGTCACAATGAGGCACAAGCAACTTGATGACTCATAACAACAACAACAACAACCACCTACTGAAACCAGGAGACAGTGGTCAGAACAATGCAACGGAACACTGCATGGTTCAAAATCAGAAAAGATGTATGCCAGGTATCCATCCTATCTTCATATCTTTTCAATCTATATGAGGAACAGATCTTCCAGGAATCTGGGCTATAAGAGGAGGATTGGAGGAAGACTCATCAACAACCTACATTATTCAGATGACACAACCCTGTTTGCTGAAACTGAGGAGAACCTGAGGTGTTTGTTTCAGAATGTCAAGAACTGAAGCTCTCAATATGGACTGAAGCAAAACATTAAGAAAACAAAGAGTCTAACTTCTGGGCTGATTAGTAGCATCTTTATAGACTGTGAAGAGATAGAGATTGATAACAGTTTCCGCTTGCTTGGCTCCACAATAAACACTCTTGGTACCAACAATCAGGAAAACAAAAGACGAATTACATTGATAAAATCTGCTCTCAGGGACCTCTCCAGAGTATTGAAGAGCAATGATGTCAGTCTGGAGACTAAGGTTCCTGTGATCTAGGCCATGGTCTTCACAGTTATTTGCTATGCATCAGAAGGCAGGACAATGACTAAGAATGATAGAAGAAGAATTGATTCCTTTGAGTTGTGGTGCTGAAGAAAAGTATTGAATATACTATGGACTGCTAGGAGGAAAAAACAAGTTCCTTCTGGAGGGGGTGAAACCAGGCAAGTATTCTGAAGCTTCATCTCCCATACTTTGGGCATGTTGCAAGGAGGAACTAGTCCTTGGAGAGGAATATCATCATACTTGGAAGGGTGAATGTATGGCACAAAAGAGAAAGACCCTTGATAAGATAGATTGACTCAGTGACTGGGGTAACTGTGATAGGTGTGCCAGAAACAATGAAATTGGCTCAAGATAAAGCTGGGTTCAGAGCTGTTGTACTTAGATTATTATGATTTGCAAACAACATAATGGCACTTAATAACAACAACTAGTCTTTCTACTCTGTTGGTGAGAACCTGCTGCCTATCAAAAGGAGAAATATGTTTTCTCTGGACTTATGTGTGTGCTATAGTGGTGTACTCTGATAACAGTTTTGCTCCTAACCCAAAGGCTTTTTCTCTTGTGGTTTAAATTCAGTAATAGCTAGGTGAGAAAAAGATAGATAATCCTCTCCTGTGTGTGATTTACAGCCTCATAAACACCAATTGTGAATTAGCTTTGAGTCAGAATCTACTTGATGATCGGAGTTTTCAACTCTTTTATTTATCTGCAGATTAGTTTGTAATCATTTTTCCTTACATCCTTGGTACATGTTTGACTGTCTCATTGAAAATCACTGTTTTCTCCGTTTTCTTAAATATTAAAGGAAAAACTAAAGCAGAAGTGGGAGTGGGCTCATGAATTGATAGTTGGCGGGTTACAGTCTAGCCTGTAAGTGAAAACGGACTCATTGCTATTCATTCAGATCCATCCGATAGCAGATCTTCCAGCAGGTTTTCAGTAACTTCACGCATGAGAAGAGATAAATTGCCCGTTTTTCCTCACACAGAGATGCTGGTGGATTATAACTGCTACAGAGCATCCACCTTTGAAGTGGCAGCACAGCTCCCTAAGAACTATGATGCCAGCAGGGTGCCCCTGATACAGAGCAAAGAAATTCAGGTATAGCCTGAAATATCTCTGTATGAACTACATCCCCATCCATATTTTTAGCAAATTTTTCCTGATTAGCAATATTTACAGATTTCCTCTTTTAATATATTTCAATAAAGTTTTCTTTTTTTTTCAGCTGTCTTTTGGGGTGATATTGCCTTAGATGATGAAGAATTACATATATTTCAAATTGATAGGACAATTGACCTTACACAGAATCCTTTTGGAACACTTGGACATACTACAGGTATGCTGTTTCATTTGATTATGTATTTGTTACCTGTGTAAAAAAAATATGCTTTCCAAATACTGTCAGCATTCTTCAGATTGTTTTTAGTGTTTCACTGATTAATCTTGTTTTCTTGGATGGAAATGAACTTATTTAGAAAGTTAGATCTTGTTAGTTTTTACATATTTATTTACTGTATGAGCATATTATATTATTTGTTATGTGCTTAAATGTTTGATTGACTCATAACAACTCCGTATAGGTTAGATACCAATATTATTATGATTTCCTTGTGAGGAGATTTAGGTTTAGAGGGCTAAGTACCTTGAAATTTCCAGGGAGTCAGAAAGCTCTGAGTCAGGACCAGAATAAATTCTAACACATTTCAATTTTCATGGTTTGGGGAAAAAATCTTATATTTGGTTGCCCCTACCAGGTATTGAGTTGCAAAATGTAAATTATTGCTAGGAAAAGTATATAAACTATTCAGAAAAAAGTATTCAGAAAAAAACTATTCAGAAAAAAATTCTTACTGAAAATTATTAAATAATACATGTGTGAGCTTTGTAGTATTAATTATAATACTGCTTGGTTCTAATTGTAGAATACTTTTATTAATGATTTACAGTACATTGGTAAAAATTTTATTCTATTGTAATGGAGCAAAAGCACAAGTTTAGCATTTGTTTTTTTGTTAATTAACACTAAACAGATATTTGTGGTCATACTTTCTAACTCATTGTACACACACACACACACACACACACACACACACACACACTTCTTCACTCCTATTTTTATTTTTATAAATTTTTCCTTGTATTCAGCAGAAAATGTGCCACTGAATTAAGATTGGTTTTATTGTGTCTTAATCCCTTTAGTTTACCTTTCTCCCAATTCTATATTATGAAAACTTTTAAATATATAGAAAAGTTCAAAAGAGAATGTAATAGATACCAAGATAAAGATAGTCCCAGTTTTCAGATTTAATTTTAAACAATTAAATAAAAACAGTATTCATTAAACCATTGAGTTAGAACTCACCCTCTATTAGGTTTTTGCTTAGAGGAGATAATACATCTTTTTTCCCAAGGAGTAGGTGATAGATTTGAGCTGCTGGAGAGGTGATACTTTCATATTTGTTGATAATTACTGTATTTTCTGTGGATGTGCATGAATGCGCATACATGTACTTCTGTAAAAATAAACTTTTTAAATAAATAGAAGACCACAGGACTTTAATATTATAGATTAGTGTGAACTTGTTAAGAATAAAAATATATTCTTATGTAACTGATATTCCATTAGCATATCTATGAAAACTTCAAAATAAAAATGTCTTTAAAAAATAAGAAACTTAAATAATAACACATAATGTCTAAAAATATTATTCTTTCTCCTTTGTTATATCTAGTATCTTTCCTGTTACAGATACCCATACAGGAGAGAAAACTGCTATATTATTTAATCACAGATAGTGCATTTCTTTAGAAGGTGTTTATTAGCTGAGCCATGTAACACTTTGATTAAAGCAATCTATTTAGATGCTAGTGCAATGACACAGCACAGCAAAATCCTAGACTTCTAAACTTTGTGTTTAGGCTTTAATGAAAATTTTTATTACTTTCTAGCTGCATTTAGGTAATTTTTTTTTATTCACAAACGCCCATTCACTTATTTTAAGGACATCCATTTTCAATTATTTTTTTTTAAAACCACACATCTTTTTTCCCTCCTTTCATTTGTAGTTAAACTTTCAAATAGTAATAAATAGAAAAAATACTATTTTTAAATATATTAAATAATGTAAATTATTTAGTTCAGTATAAAAACATTCTTTATATATGTGAAATACATACATTAAAAAATTCAGTAACAACTTGCCCTGTTCAGTTGTTTTTAAGGATATACGAATATTCTATTTTTTCTTACTATCTCTGTTTTCCATTTTGTTAACTTACTTGTGCTAACTTAACTGTATTTCTCCATTTCTATATTTTTAGGCTGCATGGCCTTTCTCACATATATATATTTTATTTATGTATTTTATTTTAATATATGTGGGGGAAACCATTTATTTCCTGCAATTTCATTTTATCTCAATGAACGATATATACAACTTTTTGTTAAAATTACTGAGCTTATTCAAAATTACTAAAAATTTTATTATTCAAATGATTGCCATCAATTGTTTTGATATATTTTTAAAAATTGTCTACTCCTATCTCTGTAATTAATTTGAAGTATATTTCCTTTTTCTTATAAAGAATGAGAAAACTATTTTATAAATCTGTTCGTATGCATTTTAAGACTATCCAATATAAAACATACTTGTTACATAATTGGCGTTACAGACCATACATTAAAACATACACAAATACCATACTAAAAAATGTATTTTGTAACTGCTTGGGAATGAAAGCCCTTAAATATTACCTCATCTTTCTAAAATGTTCAATGAAAAAATTTCATTTATTTTTTTTCTCATGGGACACAGCAAAATTCTGACCACATAATGCAAATAATTGAGTCGTCAGTGAATAAACACTCTAACGTATATGCCTTATAAGGACTGGATATTTTTTCTCTTAAGATGTTTAATGTCACCAGGCTTTATTAATGTTTTTGTTCCTAATCAGCTCCAATCAAGATAATTAGGTTTTAATAATAATTACAAAAGGAGAAAAGAATTAAAAGGAAAAAGTTTAAAGTCTGAGAACAGTTCTTTGTCTTCTCAGATTTCTGACTGTTTTTAATGATCTTGGTCCAAAGTTACTCGTGAACTGTAGACAATGTTTGGTACACTTTCATTGCAGTGTTCTAATGCCATTAGAAGTTATGTTGTTTGTATGGTCAATAATATCCATTTCTTATATCTTTATGAAAAATTTAAGAATAAAGAAACAGGAAAAAATAATGAAGGCAGTAATTAATTGAAAGTCTTCGAATTAGAACCAGACAACTTTGATTTTTAGCAAATGATATGCTTTCCAGCTTATGACAGAAACATACATTTTCTTGTCATTGTTGTTATAAGATATATTCCTTATTTCAACCCTCCCCCTACCTTTTTTTTTGAGTCATATGATTTTTTTAACATCTCTATAAATTTTACAAATTATGTAACTGTAGAAATCATTCCCAGATCCGATGTTTTCTAGTGGAATTTTACCTTGTGATTTTCTCATATATGTATTGTTATTACTGGTTTTTACTAACTGTAGAACTAGTTTCCATTTTTTTTTAAGATCATAGAGGTATTATAAAATTTCATATATTTTTAGAAGATTTCCAATTTATCATAACTCACATTATTTCTTCTGTGATTTTATTTCTTGATTGGAGTTCTGCTTTCATTGGGGAAATTTGTTCAACAGAAAGAGTAACTTACTGTCGTTGTGTACCATAGAGTCGGAACTGCTCCATAGCTGACCCTCTGTCGGGTTTTCTGAGGCAGTTAATCGCACAAGAGGGATTGTCCATCCTTCTCCCGCTGAGCAGCTGGTGGCTTCAAACCCCATGCCTTTGGCATTGCAGTGGATTCACAGTGGAGGAAAAATGCTTGCTGTTTCAATAGATGATCTATCATTATGAAGTCCAAATGTCGTACTTTAAAGCTGTATTGAAACAGATGAGGGAGCGAACAGTTTATAAGCGATAGGGTATAATGGTTATCACAAGAGTCCAGAATTAACGTTGCATAGTGGAGTATACTCGGGGCGAGGAGGTGGGGGATTGTATACTAACGAAGGAATTTTTATTTTACTTTTTAAAGAGAGGAGCGAACTGGTGGGGGGGGGCAGGTGGACAGGAAGATGAGTGCAACAATGAATGAATGGAAATCCAAAATCTCTGTAAATGTTCATTAAAATTAATAAGATAAAATTTAAAAGAGTAAAAAAATGTATTGTAACTGCTTGGAAATTAAGGCACTAAAGGATTACCTCATCTTTCAAAAATGTTCAATAAAAAAATCAAGCATAAACTGCTATCTCTGCCCCTCACCTATTGGTTCTCTTTTAAAGCTAAAATTTTCTATTTTGGATTATTTTTACCTCTTTACAGATTCATGAATAGCCATAATGTTAACACTACATAAAAGTACAGTTCACAAAAAAGAAGTCAGATAGTCTATTATTATAGTTCATTAAAAGAAAATTGAAGACCAGTGAATAGAACTTAATTATCTTCTTTTATTCTTTAAGGTGGACTTGGAGACCATGATATGTCAAAGAAACGAGGGGCCCTCTACCAACTCATAGACAGGATAAGAAGAATTGGCTCTGGTATATCAATGTTTAAAGTTGCAGACGCTTGACTTGAAGTACAGTAAATATTATACTCATAGAAGTTTGGCTTATTGAAATCAATGTTTGATTATGACATGGAGTATCTAAAAGACACATGCTGTGAAAAATCCTTCATTTGTTTTCATTTTGTATATTTTGTACATATTTCATATATATATATATATATATATATATATATTTAAAAGTTCAATTTTGGAAAGATACAAAGTTCCTCTAAATTCTTTTAAGCTTTTTCTAGATAAAAATAGTTATTTAATATTTTTTTTAGTTAATTTGTTCTTTCACTGGATGTTTTCATAGTAAATGAAGGTAAAATAATTATAATCTATGATTAAAACCTGATGAAATAAAACCTAATCAAAATAAATTGAAACATTGATTTATTAGATAATGAAAGGTAGTTGAAACATAATTGTCTACTCAAAAATATAATATAGTTGAAATATGGAGATTAATAGCTTTCTGGGCTAAAAAAGAGTTATTTTTATAATATTGAGTTAATTTAACACTGAAGCTGTGCTGCATTCCCAAAGGCACATGGTACGAGGCCCCCACTTGCTCCATAGAAGGATAGGCAATCTCCTCCCATGTGATTAACTGCCTCTGAAAACTCACTGAAGGGTCTGCTATGGGTCGGTTCCGATTCGATAGTAAACAACAACAATCTGGTAGCCTAGTGGCAAGAAGTTCTACTGCAATCCCTGAAAACATGCCTGAAGCACCTGCTGCTCTGAGGGAGGAGGCAGGCTGGGCAGTCTCCTCCTGTAAGATTAACAGCCTTTGAAAACCTGCCAGAGGGTCACTTATGGGTCTATTCTGTCTCTAAGATATGTGACAATTGTAGGGTTTAGGGTTGTAGATTTCAAATCCTCTAGGCTTGATCAAATATTCTTCTGAGTGGTATAGCACTGCTCTGTTCATTTGCTGTACAGAGGTAACTTGTGGTTGCTGTGATGTATTTAGATCACAGTATTTAGACACTGTGACACTGATATATCCAATGTGATAATGGTTACCCATGGTGGAAAGTGTTTGGTGGAGCTCCACGATTAAAACAAGCTTTGAAGCAAGAGTGGCATCCACTTCCGAAATTACTTCTCTCTGGAAACTCTATGAACGTGGAGAAATGATGAAAGTTATACAAGTGTTCAAGTCTTTTGTTCATAGAGTCACTATGAGTCATCTATGACTCAGTGTCACTTAACAACAGTAACAGGTAAATATAATAAATAGTAATGCTAAATTCTGAGTCTAGTATTTCTTGAGTTATTCTGTAAGGAATAAATTTCCTAAAGTTGCTTTTGTCAGGATACCAAAAAAATAAGCAACTGACTCACAGCTGCCCCTCTAGCAAGTTTCTAGATATTGTAATACATGAGAGGAGATTTCTAATCTTTCTTCTATGGAGAAGCTGGTTAATTTGAACCACGTATTTTTAGGATTGGCAGTGTAATTCCTTGCCCACCAGACCACCTAAGCTCAAGAATATAAGAGATAGACATATGCTATATGTGTTTATATGAATTATATACTGTTGTTAGTTTCTGTTGGGTTGATTTTGACTTATGGTGACCTCATGTGTGCAGAACAGAACTGCTTTGCAAAGTTTTCAAGGCTGTGTTCTTTTCAAAGTAGATTGCCCAGGCTGTCTTCCAATATGTTTCTCGACAGAGAGTTTTGGCCCTTACAATTTTGACTAGTGTTTCAAATGCTTTACTGCTTACACCACTCAAGGATGAAGTACACCAGTATTAAAATATTTATCAATAGTGTCACATGAATAAAAAAGAATAATCCTTCAAATTTAGTAAAAACAAAATGTAACAAAAATGTCGCTAAGGTCATCAATAAAAGTAAGTGATTAGATCCTTGAAAGTATTTTAGGAATAGGCTGCATATCTTGTTTGAATTTTCAGGATGTATTTGTTCTATAAATCATGCTGTATACCATTATGTGAAATTTGAAAGGATTAGAATGAAGGTAGCCCATTGCCCCAGATTACAAAGACTATATCTAACTTTACTTATAATATCTATACAATGTAATATACTTGAATTTAGACTTTACTGCAGAATATAAACTATAATTTTAAGGATTAAGCTAAAGTAAGAAAAATGTGTAATATCATGTACTCAATGACGTCATGAGTTGGATTTGACTAGACATCAACTTCTTTTTTCCTTATACAGAATCTGTTTTATTAAATCCAAGATCTCTGTAAATGTTCATTAAAATTAATAAAATAAAATTTTAAAAAATGTTATTTTATCATATGAGACTATTAGTGAACTGGATAAACTACATTTCCATTTTTGTTGACCATGACTCATTGCAGTACAATATACAACAGATCAAAATTTTACTATTTTAGAACAAATAAATTTATTTTTCTGTGGCCTACAAGCAAGTCTAACTTCTGTCTGCCATATGCTACTATATGCATTGTCGTTGTGTACCGCAGTCAGAACCGACCCATAGCTGACCCTACAGCCGGTTTTCAGAGTCAGTTAATCCCAGGTGGTAGCCTTGAACTGTGTACCCGCAGGATTGCAGCACAGCCCATTGCTCAAAAATCATTAGGATCAGTATTTTTACATTAAGTACTTAAATACTTAGTTTTTTAACAAGGATGCCATATGAGGGAAGCTTTTCTTTAATGTATTTTGACTTCAGGCATATATGTAGAAATATGTAAATAAGACATTTCAACTTTTGTCCTTTAAGAGGTAGATGACTTCCTGACCAAAGACTTCTGTTTCACAGAATCTTTTAAATGTCACTGCAGGCTTGGAGCAAAACAGCACAGTTAAGGGAAAAGTACCTCTAAAATTCTCAGGGCAAAATGAGAAAAATCGAGTCCCCAGAGCTGCTACATCACGAAATGAAAGAATATGGCCTGGAGGCGTTATTCCTTATGTTATTGGAGGGAACTTCACTGGTAAGCTATTCTTAGAGTCTCCATTTTGTCAAAGAAATAATAGCTATTATAGAGGGTATTCTATATGTTTGTAGAATACTAATGTATAAATACCTTATTAAATCACACTTGAAAATGACATATTCATTTAGGTTTTTAGTTCAGAATATCTCTGAGATGGAAAATTATTTTTAATTTTATGTTCTGAGAAGCAAAAGATTTCTTTCAATTTCAAATTGTTTCAAATGTGCCCATTAAATCTGAGAGTTGATCTATCTTGTACTGACAGGAAGACCGTAGGCCTCGTTTGCTGAAACTTTTACACACATAATGCTTGTAGAGACAGTGAGTCATAACGTACTGATTATAAGATGAATATACTTTCTTAACAGTGACTCATTTGTGATATTATGGCTTGACATTCTTCATTGATAACAATAGTAGCATTCTGAACTATCCAGCCAGATTCATAATAGAGAAACTGGTATGAACACTCCTTCCTGGGGCAGACACTGTTTTAGTAATTTCATACACTTTTTCCAGGCAGCCAGAGAGCCATGTTCAAACAGGCTATGCGACATTGGGAAAAACACACTTGTGTGACTTTCATTGAAAGAACTGATGAAGAGAGTTACATTGTATTCACATATAGACCTTGTGGGTAAGTAGAAAAGGAAGAAGTCTTTACCTTAAGACATCTTAAGACAGAAAAACCTAAATGTCTAACTGCTCATTCATTTCCCAATGTATACTTTATACATTATACAGAAGTAACTTCTGTGGTATAGTTGGTTACATGTTGTGGGGCTAACTGTAAGTTCAGTGGTTTGAATCTACCAGGCAGTCCATAAGAGAAAGATGGGCAATCTTTTGTCTTCTCATGTGAAGATTTGCAGATTCAGAAAACAGTGGAGGATAACTGAGTCAAAATTGACGTGAAAGAAGTGAGTATACATGAGATGCCTGAATTTTACATAAGAAAGTGTATTACTTAACCACAGACTTTTAGCATCAAACCCAATTTTTTTCTTCCACTGCCTTACTCTTCCTTCTCTTCTGTCATACTGGCATTGCCAACATCTCACTCAAACTAGAAACTTTTTCATTGTTCTTCTTTGATTTTATTGTACTTCCTAAGTTTCTGTTGATACTTACTATATCCTTTTGATATCATCTATGTCATTACTTTTATTCATTAATTTCTTTATTATTTAGTGCCTAATCTGTTTCAGATGCTTCACAATTTATTATTATTAGAATAATTTTCTTAAATTATAAGTGAGATTAATTTTTACTACACTTTATAAAATTATTTCATGTTTCTTCTATAATTTTTATTTTTAAGTTTGCTTCTTACAAGATAAAAAAATCTAAAAATGACAGTAGAAACAATTCTGTAACTTTGAAAATACTATGTTGAATTTCAGTTGTTATTTCTATAGCACTGTACTCATGAAATTAATATCAGCCAGTTTGAAAGACCATAGAATACTAAGTTTTTAAAGCTAATTTAAAAATAATCTTTCTAGTACTGAGTCGCCAGGCTACTAGTTTAAATGTGAGGAAAAGAATTCTCTATCCAGAAACTCTTTTTGGAAATGCAGGCTGGCGAATAAAATCCATTTTTTTATATATATATAGCCTTCAAGGAATGCCATGAACTGACCACACTTTTCATTTTCAAATTCTGACATTATATCTTGCCACAAATACACTAATTAAGACATAATTGAATAATAGCAGTTCTCCAAACAATGATTCATACTTTAAAAGACTTTTTTTATTGTTAAAGCTTTCAAATGTATACAGAACTATATACAGCAATCCATCAAATTCAAGACTTATCAACTTTTTATTGCACTTTCTGTTTTCTCTTCCTTTTAAAATTTTCCTCTTTGTTTTACTCTACTTCTTTAGTTTTAAGGCAATCCCTGCCATAATATTTGTGAATATTTTTTAACTATTTCAATTTTTGGCCTTCAGGCCTGGTTTAAATTGTTTTTTGTCAAACATTCTTCTAAGTGGTATAGCACTGGTCTGTGCATTTCTGTACAGAGGTAACTCGTGGTTGCCGTGATGCTAAACATTGGGACACTGCTGTGCCAAATGTGATAATGGTTACCCATGCTGGACAGTGTTTGGTGGAGCTCCCCAATTAAAACAAGCTTGGAAGCAAGAGTGGCATCCACTTCCTAAGTTACTTCACTCTGGAAACTCTATGAACATGGAGAAACAACCAAAATTATACAATTGTTCAGGTCTTTCATTCATAGGGATGCTATGAGTTATCTGCGACTTGACGGCACTTAACAACAACAACAATTTATTTTTTTTAAAAAAATGCCTGAATAAGTATCATTATAATAACTGAACAAATTTAAAATATAATTACTTAATATAATGTACAGTCCATCTTAAATCAGACAAAAACATTTGTTTTCATATCAATCCTGATTGATAGAAACTCTTTTTAGGACTAGACTTTTCAATGAAAGGTCTAGGCACCTCTGGGTAGATTCAAATTAGTAATCTTTTAGAAACAACTTAGTGTTAACCTAAGAGCTTCCAAGTTTTTCTAAACCCAAATTGTTTTGAAAATGTTTATGAAGTTTGTTTTACCCTTGAACAGTTTTTCTCTCACTTCCCTAATTAACTTACTTTTTTCACCTGCTCTTGAATTGTTGAATAATTCTCTTAAAGATTTTCCCATATTTTGCAATCTGTGTTTGTTTCTTCTTAGTATAATTTTCTATTTCCTTTCTCTACAGTATTTCCAATATGTTAAACTTATATATAGTAAACTTAAATAAACTGAAATTGAACATGTTTTCTTTTCTTTTTTTTTTTTAATAGCAAACTTCCTACTACTTCTCTGTTGCTCATTGCCATTTATCCTTCCATTTTTGCCTTCGACCCACTGAGCTTTAGCTCTGGTCCAATGCTGATTTTTTTTCTAAGCACTAAATGCCTCCATGGTGTTATTGTTTACCTAATAAGTGTGTCTACTGTTTAGCTGAGGGATGTCTCACAGTGTAGAGCATAGAGAGTTGGAGAACTAACCTAAAGACAGCACTTCTCTGGTAATTTGAATCTGCCAGCAGCTCTGATGAAGAAAGATGAGCAGTCTCTTTCCATTCAATTTACAGCCTCCAAAATCCTCCTAGATGGTCAGCTTTGAGTCATGCTCAATGAGAAGGAGTTTGAGTTTTCTAATTGTTTGGCTAAACATTGAGCAATAGGAGTGAGTTGCTTAAGTTCTGAGAGCAACTGAAGGCCATAATCTAGGGGCAATTACACCAATCTTTCTTAAACTGGTAACCTTAGCCATTTTTATAATTTTAAGCTTTTACAAATTTCATAGTTAGCAACTACTTCCTAAATTATTATTTCAGTAGGGCTACATAGATGATATATCAAATTAAGACCCAGTGCCACCCAGTCAGTTCTGACATTTGGGAACTCTACATTTGGTAGCCAAGTTTATAAATCTTTACAGTAAGAGACTACCTTATTTTTTCCTTGTGGAGTGGCTGGTGATTCACCTTAATGACTTTTCCATTTGTAGCCCAATATGTAACATAATATGCACCGGAGTTCCTTTTAGACTAATTATAGGGGTCCAGATTTAAAATGACAAAGCGTAAGGAGCAACACGGCAATAGAGAACTGCCAGATGGGGAGGATGGGCTTAGGAGAGGTCATGGTACTAGGGAGATTATAGCTAATGCCAGAGGGATCTTGGCAGAAAGCAAAAAGTACCAGAGGAATGTGTATCTGTGCTTCATTGACTATGCAAAGGCTTTTGACTGTGTGGATCAAAACAAGCTGTGGCTGACTCTGAGAAGAATGGGAATCCCAGAACACTTGATCGTGCTAATGTGAAACCTATACTTGGAACTGGAGGCAGTTGTCAAAACAGAGCAAGGAGACGCTGCATGGTTCAAAATTGGGAAGAGGGGTCCGCTGGGGATGTAATCTGTCTCCATACCTTTTCAATTTATAATGCAGAACAAATCATTAGGGACGCTGGGCTGTACGAGAATGAATGTGGCATCAGGATTCATCAACAACCTGCCTTTATGCATATGACACAACCCTGCTTGCTGAAACTGAAGAGGTCCTGAAGCACTTGCTGCAGAAGATCAAGGACTGCAGCTTTCATTATGGATTGAAGCTCAGCATCAAGAAAACAAATATTCTCACCATGCGGCCAATTGGCAACATCAGGATGGATGGTGAAGAGATTGAGATCGTTAACAGTTTTAGTTTGCTTGGCTCCACAGTCAACATTTTTGGTACCAGCAGTCAGGAAATCAAGAGACGAATTGCATTGGGAAATTCAGCTGTCGGGGACCTCTCCAGAGTACTGAAGAACAACAGTGTCAGGCTGGAGACTAAGGTGCGCCTGATCCAGACTGTAGTCTTTGCATTTGCATGCTATGCATTGGAGACTGGACAGTGACAAGGGATGATAGAAAGAGAATTGATGCCTTTGAGCTGGGTTCTGGAGAAGAGTGTTGAATGTACCATGGACTGCTACGAGAACAAACAGGTCTGTCCTGGAGAGAGTGAAGGCTTCTCCTTGGAGTCAAGGATTCTGAAGCTTTGTGTGAAATACTTTGGGCATGTTGCCAGGAGGGACTAGTCCTTGGAGAGGGACATCATGTTTGGGAGAATGGAAAGTACAGGAGAGGAAGATTCTCCATGAGGTGAATCAGTTCAGTGGTTGGAGTAGTGGGAGTAGGTGTGTCGGAGACAATGATGTTGGCAAAGTATAGAGCAGGGTTTAGGGATGTTGTATGCAGGGTCACTATGAATCGCAAGCAACTTGATGGCACACAACAGCAACAACTAGTAGAGTATATTAGCACTTATTTCTATTTACTTTAATTTTCAAGAGCTACTGGTTGCCACACTGATGTAGTAAATGAAATGTTGTTGTTGTTGTGTGCCATTGAGTTGCTTGCGACTCATAGCGACCCTATGCACAACAGCCCTAAACTCTGTTCTGTCTTGTGCCAATCGCACTGTCTCTGACACTCCCATTCCGATAACCCCAGTCACCAAATCAATCCACCTCATAGAGGGCCTTCCCCTCCAGCGCTGTCCCTCCACCCTCCCAAGCATGATGTCCTTCTCCAAGGACTGGTCTCTTCTTACAACATGTCCAGAATATGTTAGACGGAGCCACAGAATCCTTGCCTCCAAAGAGCCACCCGGTTTAACCCTTTCCAGGATGAATCTGTTTGTTTTCCTAGCAGTCCATGGTATTCTCAATACTCTTCTCCAGCACCACAGCTCAAAGGCATCAATTCTCCTTCTATCCTCCTTGGTCATTGTCCAACTCTCTGATGCATAACAAGTGATTGCGAAGACCATGGCCCGTATCAGACGCACCTTAGTCTCCAGAGAGACACCATTACTCTTCAGTACTTTGGAGAGGTCCCGAACAGCAGACTTTCCCATGGCAATGCGCCTTTTAATTTCCTGACTGCTGGTGCCAAGACTGTTGACTATGGAGCCAAGCAAAATAAAGCTGTGTACAATCTCAATCTCTTCACCATCCATCCTGATGCTGCCAATTGGCCCAGTGGTGAGAATCTTTGTATTCTTGACATTGAGCCTCAATTCATATTGGAAGCTACAGTTCTTGACCCTCTG